TCTCTCTCTCTCTCTCTCTCTCTCTCTCTCTCTCTCTCTCTCTCTCTCTCTCTCTCTCTCTCTCTCTCTCTCTCTCTCTCTCTGTGTGTGTCAGGCAGCAAACTTGTATGTATGGCGTACATATTTTGGTATATATATATATATTTTTTTTTATGTGGCTAGCTCATAAAAAGGGATTGTCTTCTGAGTATTTGTTGTGTCGTTGAAAATGTGGCTCTTCACGATGAAAATCACAGTGGGAGAAAAGATAACTTGTCTTTGGTGCTCTTGAAACTGATGTCCTCGGAATTATGTGACAGACCTGTTGATATGACACATTGATCACCGTCATCATATTGCGTGATAAATGTCACCGACTGAACTTACCACCTGTTGCTATGACGATTATACCATGCCTGATAATGTTACCTCATAATTACTGAGTTAAAGTCTGACTTTGGGAGAACTAATTACCTGTGAGACATTAGTGATTCAGAATTTAGATAGGTTTACAACATTAGTGACAACACTGTCTATGTCACTTCATATTGAAAATGTGAGTATAGTCCATTTTAGTGAGGCTGAATGATTTTACAATGGTAAAAGCATCTGTCTCTTGTGCGGAAATGTGTATAAAGCAATAAACAGCAGCAATTTCTGTTTTATGTATCCCTTAATTATGTAACAGGAGAACTGCGTTGTTGTGTTGAAGAAAATTGTCAAAGTACCTGGCACTGGTAAACTTTGTATGAACTTATGCCTTTTTTTCTATAGTCGTATTGCTGTCATTGTGAACTGTGGTGATATTTGAAAGTCACCTCTAAGAAAAATGACCTTTTAATATGCAGTGACTGAGTGTGATTTGTACTAAAATGTATGGAGAGCATATACGGATAGATGTGGTTTTTGTCTTTAGGGTTAAAATGGCATGTCTGAGTTACGGTTTAAAACAGATGTCGTTATATCATTGCGTAGGTAGAGAAGACATGTTCCACAGTACCAATATTTTTCTATTTTTTGTTTATTTATTCATTTACAGGAAAGTATAGATTGTATATATGTCATTCGTGTTTCAGCCAATATGCAAGTAAAACAATAATGTTCTAACAAATGCTATTTTTAATTTTGTTACTGAAGCATTGTATTGCACCTTGAGTGTTTGATTTCCAAACTGATATTGAATAATAAATCTATTGAGTAGCTACCCATTCAGACATGTAAATTTAAACTAACCATAATTGTGTCAGAAATAAATACATAAGTTGTGAGGCAAAGGACTGAGAACTTTGGCCTCCTTGGTACCATTGTTTGATGCTTGATTGTTAAAAAGGTGCATGTTTTTATGCGAGAATAATGAGCATTGAGTCGGACTGAATAACCACAGAGTTCTAGAGCTAGTCAAGGTGACCCTGGGATTAGATATTCAGATGAATGTAATTTTCCAAAGTGTCTTTTTTTTTTCAGTTCTCAAAGCTTTAAATTGAAAATTTATTTTCCTGTTTTTCTGCATAGGCAGTGATCAAGCTTTCAACTTTGGAGATATGTGGCAGAGTTTTGCATGCTCTCTGGTCCATAGAGGTCCTTGTCTTAACACACATATAAACATTATACTTGTTTCATCTGTAATAAAATGTCTTAAAGATTAGCACCCCCCCCCCCCCCATCAGAAATAAGTTTTTTAAAATAAATTTTAATTTTAGATAATTTTTGATATATGACATATCAAAATAAATAAAAGTACAATGGGGTTGCCCTGATCCTTTCATCACCACAACTTCCACCCCCTTCACCCTC